CTTGAACGGTGGAAAGGATGAAATTGAAAGAGTGACGTTCTGTGTTTCCCGTGATTGCCTTGACTGGAGGATGTGTGGCTATTGGACATGTACTCCTCTGTCTTTGCTCCCCATTAGCTCCACTTGTTCCCAGACAGGGGTTAAGACACACTAAAGAGATCCACCAATACGACCAGTCAAAGCCTCCATGTGTCAGTGATGGTATTTCAAAAGTGTCAACTTTTAAATAAAGAAATTATAAAACTCTAATAAAGCTCATTCATTCCAACCTTACTGGTCATTGGTTCAATGTTTTACATTTGAAGTGACAATTAATTAGAGATTTCATAAGAGCGATTACTATAAGTTATTAAGAAAACATTAGACTTTTAGGTCACTTTTCATGTTATGTCTTAATGTATAAATGTTTTTAATGCAATGATGCACTACTCAACAGCTAAAGAGAAAGATAATTGACACCAAGTATAATGTGTTATTATTCCAGTAGTTAATGGATAAAAGAAGAGATAATATAATTTAAAAAATGTCAACTGTTATTCCATTGACTTCATCCTGCGGCACTGGCCTGGTGTTACAGGAATGGTGTGTCATCCCGTCATTATATTTTTCAAAGAGGACCACACAGTAATGGTAACTACATGCCACTTTGGTCACTTTGCGAAAATGTGAAAAGGAATTATGTGAATAGTGGAGATCACACACAGGAGTGCACTGCATTTGTAAAGCCATATTACAGTGCACAGCCCAGAATTTGTTATAAACATAGGAAGTGGATAGTTGATGGTGCTGACCTGAGGACATTTAGACGTGATCACGCTGGTGCAGGGGGCCAGCTTGTTATCGAGCTGAGTGTATGCTGACAGAGAGGGACATCTCTCCCGCAGCTGCAACACTAATATACGCGGCTATAAATACAAGTGAATCCAGCTGAGTTTTTCCTCACTTTGCCAATTCCAGGCTTTTGAATGTAAAAATGCTGACCTTTACACCCCGAGTCAGACAACTTGCTGTCTCTGTAAGGGGAAGAAGTTAATTTGTGGCAGGTAGTAATAGATAAATTGGAGACCAAAATCACCAGTTTCTGATACCTCTGTATTTTACCTGGACACGGAACATTTTTCTGTGAAATACTGCAAGGGGAATTAGAGTTTAGAGTTAAGATGAATACACAAACCAGCATCAACAACGGAGGGAATAGTTAGCAGAAGAAGGTCAGAAGGGCATCTTAAGCCTACAGCTCAAATTAATTGTTTGTAGGTTAACTACTGTAAGTACATCTACTCATGTTCTGTATGATTTTGAGGGACTTGAATATCTTCTTACTCCACTACATTTATTTCAGAGCTATAATTACTAGTTAGTTTGCAGATTATTTACATGTATAATATATATATACAGTATATATATATAATATGATGCATTGTTTACTTCTGTACTTTTACTCAAGTAACATTGATGCTGTGAAACCTGAGATATGGATTCAGAATCACTGTAGATCACACTTTATACAAATGAACAACCTTGCAGTGTTTGGAAGCACTGGTGTAAAATATGTACTTTTAAGTCACAGAAAATATTGAAAGCCTCAATGTCTCTCTTGTTTGTATTCTGTACTGGTCCTTGAGAAACAGAAATGGTTCTGGGTAATTACAGCTGACATTAAACTCTGGATGATTGTAAAAGTAAATATTTAGGTTGGTTACATTTGTTGCTGAACATCATGCTGAAGACATTCGCACACTAATTATATTCATGGCTCACGGTTTGACTTTTTTCTTCTTTGTTTCCATACATCTCATTATTTTTTCAAATCAAGATAAATTGCTTTGAATGCCTGGGGATTAACAAGGTCATATCATAAGTATCCAAGAGTATATGGTGGCTTTGATGGTGCAGGGATTGGTAAAGTACAAAATGTGCTGTTTTCCACGTTATTATAATAAATAAACACAGTCCACTCTGTTTACACAAGTGGTCCATTGGGTCTAATGTCCACCCTTTGCAAGCTGCAGGGTGCATTTTAAATACCCTGCAGTACACTGGCATGCCCTGTGTATAATAGAGTAGTATACTCACAATATATAAAGGAGACGGGCTGATAATGAATCTGGCTCGAATCAACCTTCTAAAATTCTGAAGGGGAGCAGAAATGTGTCCGTCGCTCCCATAACAATTTTCAATTAATAAAAACATAATTTCTTCCAGTCCCCTAGGATGGGGATTCGGTATAACTCGAGGGCCCTCCCTCACATGGTGTGAACAAACCTTTTTGCTCAGTAGCTGTGTGAATATGTGTGTGTGAGACACAGACTGTTTCTCACAACTGTACTCACACACGCATACACGCACACACACACACACACATGGCAAGGAAGTATACTTGTCTGTATGGTTTGTTCGCACTCAAGAGATAAAACTTTACATGTTGCTCCCAATTAGCACAGCAGTGACCGTGCACTGTCTCCTGTGCTCAGCTTCCCCTCTGAAGGGGGGCTATTTATGTGAAGACTCATGAGAATGTGAGAATTGAGGCGAGAGACAAGATATGGACTATGTGAGATAGAATGTGTGTGTGTGTGTGTGTGTGTGTTGTGAGGGAGAGAGAGAGGCAGTGAGAAAAAGAGATAGAAGGAAAGGGAGAATTGAAATGGCTTAAGCATCCATTTTGAGTAGAGAGACAGGTCCTATTAACATTTAACAGCATTTGTGCAACTTGGTGCTGGGGTTATGATGCAAATGAGGAGGAATTAAAACTGGCCAGAGGTTTGTCATTGATGGATTGCAGTCTGGCAGTGCTCACACTTCCTAGTGTCCATCAGAAGCGATTACTGTGTAATTAAACCTTATTTCTGGACTCTCTAGTGCATAATTACTTTGTGAATGTAACCATCATCTAAAAGCTACAAAAATGCTTTACCATTTAGTCGAGCAGTCAGTTCCATGGGCTTGTGTCAGATATAGCCATCAGACAGAGCAAAAGAACTGTCACTTTTAATAAGAAGCAAAAAATTAAATGAAACTGTATGCTTATTACAGAAAAATTAGGCTTTCAAGAGTCCTTTCAGTTATTTGCATAATTTATTCCCCACCCCACCCGCCCCCCCCCCCCCCCACATATACACACACCGCAAGCTTTAAGCAATTTCCCTCACATTTAAATAGATTGCACATTTAAGGCTACTTAAGGAAAATTATCACTTTGCATATTTTAATTGTTATGAAGGAAGTGATTTGAGAGAGGTCTGTGGCTCATCCTCTTGAGCCATGCGGTTGCGAAGCTGTCTGATTCGGCTGCTCGGCGCTGCAGCACCACAGATAACCTCCGAGTTCACACACATCCACTCCAGTTTCATCAGAATGCAAATGAAGCACAGAACACTGGGACAAGTGGATCTTTGATATTTACAAAATAGCCACTAATAACTTGAGTGTAATTTGTTTGACTCAACTTTATTTTCTCTCTTATCAGTCCTGATTTTTTTCCGCCTGCTGGTCAAATGGGCTCTTGTTTAAAAATTCAGTGGAAATAATCAAAGAGCCCGCTAGAATGATCTATCTATCTGTCTGTCTGTCTGTCTGTCTGTCTGTCTGTCTGTCTGTCTATCTATCTATCTATCTATCTATCTATCTACCTACCTACCTACCTACCTACCCGTCTGTCTGTCTGTCTGTCTGTCTATCTATATCTATACATCATATTATGGAAAATTGATTCAGTGCATTGTCCAGTACAGGACAATGCAATATACAGTCTGAATTTACGTAGCTTGCTGGATTATTTGCTAAGCTTATTTGAAAAGCTTCTTTTTTTTTTTTTAACTAAGTTTTAAACTAAAACTGAGTGCAAATGTCACAACTGTTTCATGGTGCATCACAACTCTATTGCACGTCTTTAAAGGTAACTCACCCAACACTTTTCATTCATGGTTCTGAACCTAGTTATTGTGTCAATAAATTGTCCAATATCCACCACAATGAAAAGTTGTTTTTTCATAGTGTTTCCTCCAGTCAACCCTGAAGATGTTTGTTATATACAAATCTCTGTTTTGCTTGACACTGACTGCTTCATGTACTATACAAGAATGTCAGTTTTGTTGAGCTGAATGCTATTGTGTATCACACTGAGCTCAGCAGGGCAAAGTTTACTGGGAAAAGTGAATACTGCACAGTACTGTAGTAAACAGAAAAGGGATATATATGTACCGTATGTATATACCGTAAATGTATTTGAGTGAAGAATAACTTGCGGTAGTTCAGTAAAAAACAACACATTGTACCTCATCTCAGTACGTAACACCATGTCATAAATAAAGTGTTTGACACGTATTATTATTGAATGGATCATTTTGCATGTCAAGGCTCAAAAAGTGAATGAATGTTCAGATATTGTGAAGATCACGATTTCACTAAATTAAAAGATTAAAAGAAAATTATAATGTGACTGGAATGATTATTTTAATCAAAAATGTTAAAAAGTTTCCAATTCAGAAATAGAGTTAACTTTAATGAATTAGGCATACTTTGTGGGGCAATGTACAGAATAATAGCCTCGCTGAATACGACTTGTGAAGATTCTCCAAGGACAGTTCTCCATGGGAGACTGTAATGTTTTGAGTGTTCTCGCCTTGACAAGCTTAGCAATGCTTGTGAGGAAGAGTGTTCATACACTGACAGCGCACTGATAAAAGGAAATAACCATTTTCACACTCCTTAGTTTTTGTAAACTAAATACTGTAATTTTACTCCACATTATCGAAGACTCTTTATTTAGAAAGGCTCTATGGAAACGAAAACATATTTTATTTACAATTTTCAGTGCAAAGAATGGATCTTTCCCCAAATGATTAGCATACAGGACATAATACAGGTATAATGTATTTGATTTTTTTTTTCTCTGTAAAGCCAGTGTTTTCCACCCCAGGTTTGGAAGCATGAAATAGTGGATATATGTTAGTTCTGTTTATAAACTCCACCCACAGCTTATATTGAGAAACTGAAAAAACAATTACCAACACTGACACAATATGCTGGTACTTTTTCTCATTTATGTTAATTTGCACAGAAACTTCCCAGTCATATAACACCTACTACTTAATAATGAAAGAGGATTTTTAAACATAGCTGTTCATTTCCTAATAAATAAATAAAAAACAGCCAGTATGGATTAATAAGTTATCATGAATCATGCAAGGTGTATTGGTTGGAGGACTGCAATAAAAAGTAAGCTTTAAAATCAGTCTCTGTAAACTGCTGCGAACTGAATTATTCACTATACTGTTGTTGAACACCAGTGAAATAGAGAAATGATGATTTAAGTTGTCATGGCTCTAACACGGTCTTCCACAACAAATAGCTTGAAACGGAAATAGCACAGGCTTAAATCAATCACACCATTGCAAATTTAATCAAGTACAGTTACAAAATGCATCCAGTTTTCAGGAAAAAAGAAAACATCTTTATTCAGTATTTCAATCACCTTTATGTACCTTGAAATTAAAATACATTTAAATCGACTTTACTGTAAGTATGGCAATACATACACACATAGAAACATGTATGTGGTGCATTTTTTGTATGTATGCTGTATATCATTAGCAAATGTACAATACATACAGCTATGTGCAAGTTTATTCTCTGTACATGAATACGAAAAGTAAAAACTCAGATTTTTCATATCTTAATGTTATCCCCTCATACTTGTATGTGGATTGCAAGTGCACATACATACACGTTAACATGCGCACTACAACAATTCACAGAGGATTAAAGCAATTTGTTACTTTTTAGGAAATGAATTGGAATTGCATTGGCGCCTTTGTATAACACCTTCACAGCCTACAGCAAATCAATGGAAAGGTGGTATTGTAAATAAACTGGACCTCAGTATGAATGGTTGACTTCATCGTTGCCTTCAAGGAGCCTTATTTTTTCTGTGACTTGTACTTGACAGTGTAAAGACAGTCTTTGTGAGGTAGACTGCTCAGATTCAAGGGCAAGCATTTTTTTTTTTTTTTTTAATTTTCTCTTTTTTTAACTTTTTTTAACTTTTTTTATCCACAAATGCATAACATTCAAAATGACAGGACATAAGTACTACATGTACAATATGTAGCAATGAGGTAGAAATGGTTATAAAGAATACCAGATTATAAAACTACATAAAGATGGAGTCAAAATCTTAAGCAGTTCTCAACAAAAAGATGTTACAGAAATACTGACAGATTTTGAACAAGAAAGCGATTCAAGTGGCTGAGTTGGCATAACTGTGAGACTCAATGTGCTTATCATATGTTCTGCTCGTGTTGGTTGTGACTGTTTTGATAACATCTAGCATGTGAAATATACACCCTATCTAAATAACTGCCATTGTTTTCCTCATATCAGATCTTGCTTTAAGCCTTTTTACTCTAGTTGTGATGCAAATAAAAACATACAAAGGTAACATCTTATATATCTGCCTTGCACTGTGCTATATTGCACTGTTAGGGAGACAAATATGTGACAAGACCTGTTGTTGTCAGGGTGATTACAAGTACTGCTTAATTTGGGTGGAACATTTCTCCTTTTTAACATACATCTCTCTGTAAGTTCATGAACAGTCACTCTAATCTCATGGAATCTGAGCTCGTTAGGGCTTCTTATCACCTTCTTGTCAAAAACCCTGCAATGAGTTTAAATACTTCTTACAATTAGTAATGATGGACACAAAAATAATTATAGTCCAGTCTGACAACACAATTTGTGGTATATGACATTTTTTGCTATATTGCTTTTTTTTTAAAGATACACAAATTAGCCATGTTTTCATTGGTTCTCCAGGAAGGGGTGAATGACTGTTCATAAACTCAGACCGGATAAAAGTGTAAAACTACAAATGTTTTACAAAACCCACATATATTTTACATACTGTGATATAATAACTTAACAATGCCAAGTGGAAGTGCTACAAAATCGCCAAATTCCAATATCCACAGCTCACACTGTGGCTTTAAGGTCACTGACGCTCCCATCTTCTTAAAACAAATCATCATATTCACAAGAAAGCTATTTCACTTTGGCTTCAAGGAAGTTTTAAACCAATAAACACCTCAAAGTGCAGTTACAAATGACAAAATATGTCAGGGGCTTTTAAAAAAGTATTTCACATTATTATTGGACTAATGTTTCTGTGTAACTACACATTTTTCAACTTTGAAACTTCCAAATGGACTTTGCTGGACACTTTAATGGGTAAACTAATTTAAGTTTAATCAACCACTTTTGTACAGTATCAATCAATCAATCAATCAATATCCACAATGTATAAAAAAAAGAACAGGTACAACATGTGCAATAGGCAACAAAGATGAAGGGACCTCATTGTAAAAACAAACACATGGTCCTTTAGTGCCTCTGCAGTACACGTACACCTACAGTGCTATCTACTTCAGTGACATTTGTCGATGTGCGAGTGCTTTGCTTTCCGTACTGCTCAGAGGACATAATACATTCAGTCACATTTTTTACTTGCCAATTGAGCTGTCAGTCCTGCTCTTTCATTGTCAAAAAAACGCTGCATGGAAATGTACTGGTTAACGGCAGCAAGTAGTGATTAACGGAATTGTAAACATAACATTTAAATGTGAAAGTTACAACACAATAAAATAACAGTTTTGTGTACAGTGAGACTAGCCTTCAAGACATGTTCTTAAAAAGGAATGCCACTCAATTCATGAATGTTACAGTTATGACCTAAGACAGACAAACCCATTTTTTTATTTTTATTTATATTAAAATAATGGAATTGGTTTTCTAAGCTGGATGATGTGTATAAAACATAGCTGCAAATGCTGTCACACGTAAATTTCTATTTGACATCACAGATTCAGAGGCCAAACAAGCAATGGCAACAACATCCACTGGTGAGTGTTAGCTAATACAGACCAATTTGTCCTAAGGCAAAGGCATAGTGTATCCCAAACCTGATATTCAGTGGTATTCCCCTTTAAGTGCATTACGTGGTTCTTGGGAGTTATCAGAATGTAAAGCTAATAGATTTTGCTCACAACAGAATACTGTTTGGTGTTCTCTCAAAAGGTTTCCTCATCAAACAAGCGAGACAGGTGCTCACATTTATCTGTCTTCATGTATTTGTCTTTCAGAGATAACTAACAAACTGAGGTAGAAAATAACTTAGGCTATACATAATCCATAAAACATCAGCAGGATGGAATGAAATAGGTCGGGACAGCTGTCTTCCTAAACCCCAAGATGTTGGTCTGCAACTTTTGAATTTCTCTCAGCTCTGCATCATCACAAGCTAAAGTAAAGAGACCCAAACAAATTACTTTTTTTTTGTCTCGTAAATAAACCAGATTTACTCTTATACATTCATGTCAGGAACCTTCTCATTTCATTCTGAGCTTTTTGAGGTATTATATAGCCTTACATTTGTTTGATGATGGAATTTCAAATGCAAGCCAAATGCTCTTGCAGTAGTGCTTTGCCACACGCTTATGAGGTACTGCACATATCATCATCACTTTCCTGAGTTTTCAAATAGAGAACATCAAAAGAATGAATGGTAGAATTTTACATTTATGTGAAACACTGTGAATTACTACTGAAAAGATATTCTAACAGCATTACATAGTAATATATTGTTTGGAGTGTAGTCATATTGTAAAATAGTATTTGTTTTTTTTATTTTTTATCTATAGTGGAGAGATTAGTACAGCAGCCAAATTCACCTTAAGTTTGCTAAAAAACAAATCACATTGTACATAAAGTATGTCCATGTTAATTTAAGGATTTACACATTAATAAAACCTGTGTCAGGTAAAGTCCAACTGAAATGATACCAATAAATGTCATTTAACTCAAAGTAACCACAACTGTTCACAGAGAGCACAAAACAGACACAGCCGTAGAACACTAATGGAAAAGAGAGAGCACATTTTTTGTCTCATTTTAAAGCTTTTTTTTTATATATTAGCACAGTTCACCAATGAAGATTATGAGGCAAAAAGAAAAAAAAACTTAACAGCACCAGCTCAGGCACTTGATAGCAACTAAATCTCAAGATCAGCAGAATAGTGTGTATATATATTTATATATATATATATGTATATACAAAAAGAGGGGGGAAAACTTCTTCCAAATCGTTACAGTTTTAATGAGCATATTAAGCCATATAAAGCATTTAATTAACTTTTACCAATGTGTGATGTCCAGACTGTCATCTTCTGTCTAAGGACAATCCTTTTACTGTATATAGTATTTTCATGTCACCATTGTTAATCATTTTTCTCTTTCACTGAAGGCCAAACACTAATTTGTATTGAACTACTGGTTTCCAAGGAATTGTGTTTGATGAGTCTCTTTCATTGACCACAACCAAACATTTTATTCCACTCAGTGTACATGTCAAGTTCTTTTTGTGATATGCTGGGCTGGAATTTGCAAAACACACTGTCAAAGTCTTGGTAGGAGACCGGTCCCATCTGAGTGGGGTGGATGGCTGAGAGGTCAGTACCAGGAATGCCGTGGAGGGGACCTACCACAGCCTGTTGACACAGCTGAGCCACATCCAGTCCAGAAAAGCCCTCTGTCCTCTGAACCAGTAGTGACATCTCTTTGTCACTAAGACAGTAGTTGTGCTGTGAGAGCAGTTGGGTGATTATCTGGTGTCGTGCTGTCCCATCAGGCAAGGGGATGAGCAGTCGCTTGGCAAAGTACCTCCGTAGGGACTCTGGGATCTCTTCAGGCTTATTGGTGGAGCAGACCACGAGGACATGGTCCTCAGCGGAGGTCAGAATACTGTCAATCTGCATGAGGAGCTCAGCCTTGAGGCGATTCACTGGGCTCTCCTCACTTAGCTGGTCTGACAGCAGCAGGTCCACCTCTTTGATGAACACCACTGCTGGCTGGCGACACCGGGCCACCAGAAAAGAAGCTTGAATGATCTTGTCTCCTTCCCCCAGCCACTTGGTGACCAGAGCTGAGCTGCTGAGTTGCAAGAAGGCAGCCCCCAGTTGGCTGGCCATGCAGTGAGCTAGCAGCGTTCTACCAGTTCCCTGAGGTCCAAATAAAAGGAGGCTCCGAGGTAATGTAGCAAGTCCACTAAACATATCTGGCCTTAAAATGGGCCATAGTATCTCCTCTTTGATGGCTGCTTTGGCCATATCCAGACCCACAATGTCGCCCCAGTCCACTGGAGGGCCCTGCTGAAGGATTTCTGTGGTCACCATCTCCACCAGGTTGGAGTCACTGTTCTTCAGTTGTTCCTCTGCAGCATGGATTGACGAGGTAGCTGCACCAATGTCAGGCCCTGTTAGGGAGTGTGAGAGGTGTTGTCTGTGCTCTTCAGTTTGTTCACTCATGACGGGGGATCCAAACTTGCTGTAGGGCTCAGTTCTGAGATCACCCACAGAGCTTTTGGTTGATCCATAGGATGGAGGAGTTAGTGCTCTGCCAGAGTGTATAATAAATTTTCTTTGTTGATCTGAAGACATTGGCTGTTTGGTTGGCTTAAACGCTAAAGACGATGCTTCAGCATTTCTGTCAAAGCCATTGCCCCTGTCTGAGTCTGAGACACTGTCCGTTATTCTGTACATCGGGCTCTGTGATGAGCGCTGTTGGTTGTAGAAATGACCATAGCTAGAGTCCATATCTCCATGTCCACTCATGTAGAAAGCTTTTCGTTTTAATGAGTTGGATGTGCTGCCATTCAAAGGTGTTGGTGCAATTGGTGTATGATTATGGGACTGGTAGGTGTAGCCGGGCAGTGTGGAAGGAGGGATTGGTGTAGGAGCTGCAATGCCGGATGGCAGATAAGCAGAAGCAGGGGGTGCTCCCCCAGGGCTATAACCAGGGCCGACAGCAGTCTGAGAAGGATACCCTGTTGGAGGATAATTGTAGCTGGGAAGGTTTGGAGACCCAGCGTTGTAGCTCGGCACTAAGGTAGGGGGAGGAGGTGGAGGCGGCGGTTGTAAGAGCCCAGCACTGTGCAAAGGAGAGGGAAGGGCTGGAGTACTCTGGCCACTGTAGCTAGAATGCAGGTAGGAGCCGTTGTAACTGGCAGTATATTCCTGAGAGGGGAGGCCCGAGTGGAGAGTAGTGGCTGTGTGGCTCCCACAGTTACTGCTGGAATAGCTAGGCTCAGACAAGCTGCTGGCCCCCCCTGGGGAGCTGCCTATGCTAGCCGACACATCTGTAGGGGGTAGGGCAGCTGTCATTCCAGCTTTGCTCACAGATATAACATCTGGAGCACAGTTCATTGGGTAAATCCCCTCCTGCCAGGACTCATTCTCTGACTTTCGTCCATTCATGAGTCCAGTGGTGCTATCAGAGTAAGAACACAGCAGGGCTCTCTCATTTGGGCCCTCTAAGATCCCGGAGTACTTCTCTGCATATTTCTTAAGCAGATTGGAGGCAGTCAGTGCAGAGATGTCATCGTTTGCCCATGCATACTGGTATGTTCGTTGCAAGTGGCCCCGGTAGGCCTCTACTTTGTGTGCTGGCGAGCGGGTAGTGGATGAGATGTCAAAGTGTTGTTCTGCCCATTGTGTGTGCTCTGGGGTCCACTGCATCTTTAAACCTAGATATTGTGCATAAGGAAGAAATATGTCAATGTAAGCATTATATTAAAATAATATTCTAATATTTGAATTGTTCCATAATCAAATAGTGACAGTAAAATACTGTGGAAAAAGTATATAATACATACATTTGATTTCAATAGTTTGGGAGGAAAAAGAAGACAGCAAGAGGCTTTTCTGACATAATTTGGGAAAGTTAGCATTGAGAAAATGTTTGAAGAAAAACTGTCTAAATGTCCGCCATATGACAAACAGACAACATTAACAGAACACACAACATGGTCAGTATGAGTAGGATATGGGACCCAACACCTGGTTAGCGTGGTATAATCCACCCAACACAGAGCAGAATGACACAGACATAGCAGGTCAGTCTATAATCCAACTCTCATCTGAGGCATTCTGAGACAGTTTCAAATCTGCTTGGAGGAGCGCAGCAAAGCAATCTTCCTTGGCAGCGCTCTGTTGCTTTCATCACACAAACCCCTCAGCCCAGCATGAATTACATCCACATCCAGTCTGCCTACTGCTTCCTAGTCCACAGAGTGAGGGAGGGGAGGAAAAAAAAAAAACATGCTTCACTTGTCTTTTTCTCTGCAGCATCTCTCAGCCACTCTATTTGGCCTTGAGGGTTTGAATGACATGAATAATCAAGTTAAATCCTAAAGTCAATCTGCAAATAAAAGATTTTACACATGCTGTCATCTATAACTCTGTTTGGGATTATCAGAGGATGTACTATAGCCTCAAAGAATGTAGACTATTAAAGAGGTTACGGCTTAAAACAATCAGAGATAGTGCACAGAGCCGCAAACATCTTACATCAACACTAATCGGAGCAAAAGCTAGAAGACCATATGAGAGGAGACGCATTTAACCAAACTTTCCCTGCCTGTTATAATGGTCCATGGCTTTGCTAATCAGGCGTTGCAGCGCTATACTTCATACTTCAGTACGTTAAGTCCATATCACAGGATTTACACAACAAACAGCTACTGTCCAGAGGCAGATTACAAACACAATGTTTGTCTGCGGCTTCCCGTCTGACTCCCTTCCAGCTATTTGCCCACCCGCCACACTAAACACCAGGAGCTAATTAGCAGGATGATGCTGCACTAATTGTGTTAATTTACAAGGTTTTAGTCAAAGAGATCCATGCTATGGCTCACATGGTTGTCAACCGTCCAAGCTAATGATTAAGAAAAAAAGCCTGAGGCAAAAAGCCCAGGCATGACAAATATGGTAGCCATACTGTGCTGGAACAGAAAGGTTCATCAACATACAGAAAATAGAATATGAAAACAAATTGTAGTATCACAGGGGGCAGTGACAAAGATAACTACAGTTGTAAAAAAAAAAAATGTAATTTATGTAAACCAAAACCCTATTTAATTACGTAATAGAGTTACATGTGTATGAACTGAAGAAAATGTATGAATGAAAACCTTTAGAATAGCAGTAGCAATAGAAGTCTCACTCACTGGCTTTAGACCCATGTGCATCTACAGTAATTTAAGTGTTAGTCACCCACTACATTCTAGGTCAGCTGTTATGTGAAGTTTGTATGATGTTTAATGCCTGCCCCTCTTGTTGCATTAAAATACCTTTTTTTTTAAAGTGTTGAATTGCATTATTATTCCACATTATTGCTAAGATAAAATGTTCCCTTCAAAACAAACAAAACAGTATTAGGGCAAGACCAACTCGCACTATGTTGTCTACCAACAAATCTCAGCCATTCACAGCATTTACTGACACCGCAGTGTAAGTATCCAGATTGTAAAATCATTCAGTAGAGTTCATTAACACTCAAGGCACATTTTGTCAATAACAAAATTGCACACAGCTTACTGAGTGAGATTCTTCTATTACTGTTAATCCTCCCTGAACAATGTACCACTTTGGACAATCAAAGGAGTGCTGTTCACAAAGTGTACTTGAGATCTTTGAGCATCAGATATTTAATGAAATAGAAACCATCCAACCATAAAATGATTTTCTTATAAGTACTGCACACTGTTATAAACATTCTCTACAGTACATAGAAAGTAACTCAAACTTGAGATTTGATTTGTGGAACAAGGTATTTTCTTTTCCACAGGCAAAAAAAAGTATATTATATTAATACAGAACATACAAAGAGAAATACAAGAAAACAATGATTTTTGAACCGTAAACCAACTTGTATTGCATTCGAGCAATAACACAATGGCTGTTATCATAATTTGTGTTGTAAAATGATTCAGTGCATCAACCAGTTTTCTCTTAGTATGTATCCATTAAGCATACAATTTGAAGGAGAATCAGACTCTAAAGACTTTGGTTTATACAAAGGTTATAGTGTAGATAGCTAACACACAAATAGACACAAATGCACCCACGTGCACACACAAGCAGTGCATTAGCATAATGATCTTGTACTTTGGCATTACGGTAAAACGGTTGTCCTTTATTCCACCTGCCTGGAAATTCAAATAAAACATCTACAGGTCCCTTTGTCTTTCTTTGAAACGGTATAATTACAGAGTGCTCCATTAGTGGAATGTTTTCAGATAGCCTCGGGGCTCCAGCTCAAATTCCACTGATCAGCCACCAACAAGTAGAGCCTTTGTTGGACCACTGTGTTTGTCAATTCATAGATCTGAATAATCCTCTGGCGTAAATCTTGTAGACGATGATACTATAAGATGCTATTCTTTAGTCATTTACAGTATCTAATTTTTTTAGCTATCTATCTAATAGGTTGACTCATATCTGAATGATCACCCTGCTGAATTTAAGATTAAAACACATCTTTTGTTAACAGCACACAATTTTACAGAATCATCCCTGGGTTTAAAAGTGACAATTTATGTTTTATAATATATATTTTGGATTATATCACACTCTTTCAAGAAAAAAAGACCATGGTGGAGGCGACATGCATTAGACATGTGATGCCACAGTGTTATGCTACGCAATGGTGTTTAATTTCTGGTTCAGTTATCATTAGCGCTGAAACAGAGATGCTGACCTTTTTTGGGAACTATTAATCTGGTAGCCTAGGCCGTTTTTAAGCAAACAAGGGTGGGCCTCCACTCTGTCCATCCAATTTCCTAGTGCGTAAATTGGCCCGCTGCTTGCACAATTCTCTATTCATTACTGTGCTGCTGAAAGGAAGCACAGAGGTGGCAGAGCGGTTTTCTTTTCCTCCTTTAGTGTGTACGTGAGTGTATGTGAGACACAGGAAGAGAGAGAGAGAGAGAGAGAGAGAGAGAGAGAGAGAGAGAGAGAGA